GAAAGTAAATATCTTTATATCGTTAAATTTCAATCATTAGATATTAATTTTAAAATTCTCTCCTCCATGTAATATTCTAAAAGAGAAGATTTTTTCATTTTTCAAGTTTTCACTTATCATGTAAAAAACTATAACTCATATTTTCACTTGGCTTTACCACTGTTTTTCGAAACAGTACATATTCTGCAGGCGAACCTCACAAGAGCTCACATTTTTTCTCTTCATTTCTATATAAACGCAAGTAGAAATACCATAGTGTGATATCGCAGGCGATTAAATATTTTGCATCACTACATTCATACAATGATTTTTCAAAGTAAGTCGAAATCGAACCATTTCGATGGTGTTCGTGCACCGGAGACACCTTGGTTACGTATGCCAAATTTTATAAAAATATCTCAAAAATTGCAGTTGGGCAGGCACCAGTTGAATGCAAGACGACCCAAGACACAAACCGACAAACATGTAAACTGGAAAAGTTTAGCTTGTCATTTAAGTTTGGAAATATTTAAAATGCTAATAAAATGAGAGGACAGACAGATGGATATCCGACTTAAAAATTCGATTTTATCAAAATATATCATGTGCTAACATGGCAGCATAGCATAAAGCATTTTCTTCATTGCCATGTATTAGATATGAAGAGAAAAAGTTGATCTCGTTTCAGCTGCTGTGCCTTTTGGCCAAGGATTTATATCTCTTATCTACCTTTACATACTTATATATGTACATATATATATATATATATTGCATATATAGATAAATACATATATATGTAATTGCTGTAAATTTTTATATAGATATTAGTTGTTTTTGTTAATTATTTCTTACAAATTTTTTATCCATTACTGTAAATTTGTGCCATAACTTGTGTTCAATTATATGAAAATAGTGTGCGTGTAATTATTTCATTAATTTCATAAATTTAATGTATGTAATGTTCAATTTATTTGATTTCTTAAAGAAATTTTCTGTTTTCAAATATTTTTCATTTCGTTTCATTTTCAATGGCTTATTAAGTAATTTTTCGTTTCAAATATCAACGTTAGCGAAAAAATGCCCATCACATTGTGAAAAATTTTTATATAAATAGTCACCAAATTTGCAAAAGTACCCGTAGATGAATTTTGGCAAAATTTTTTTCTATTTTTCGTTCTTTTTTTCTTTTTTTCTTTGTCTTTCCCACTTGAACGAATTTCAAAAAAAATATTTGATATCGAAAAAAAAAAAAAATAAACAATATCTCAACTCAAATTCCAAACGCAAAACAATCAAACAAAAATTTACAGCAACTACTATTGTGTGCCACTCAGAGTCTATTTGCCTGCGATACGCAACAAAGTGGTAATGCTCAAGCAAATGGCAGTTCACCTACATCCCTACAGGTATAGGTAGACCCGATTATATGATATATAGAAAGAAAAAGAATACATACATATATATATATATATATATATATATATATATATATATACATTTTATTTAAATACTTTAATGAAAATTTTATTCGCGAAAAATTTTTGGCTAACAATCGATTCTCGATTTTTTTTTGCTTTTATTCTTATCTATTTATAGGCTCCTGTACCTCCTCCTATTATTGATTGTAAATCCAATCCACCCGCTTACTCGTTTGTTCAGGGCTGGCAATTGTTATCGTTGGCGGTTTCATTATTTATTCCAAAATCTAGTCGTCTATTATGGTATTTGAAATTGCATTTATCTCGTAACGCGGACACGAAAACCGAAACCGGTAAATATGCGGCCTATTGTGAACGAGCCTTAGAACGCACATTAAAAAACGGTGGTCGCGAAACTAAACCTTCGCGTATGGAGGTCTTGTCAATACTTTTAAAGAATCCGTATCATCATTCTTTACCACACGCTATCCCCGTTCACATGATGAACGGTACCTATCAGGTCAGCGAAAAATTAAAATAAATAAGAGCACAAGAGAGAGAGAGAGACTCTCTTCTCTCGTGCACAAAATACTTTTTCACATATATTAATTAATAATAAATCGTTAACAGAAATCAAAAATTTTCGAAAAACTTTTTTTAAAAACTTTCCAAAAAGTTATAGAAAAATGAACTATTAGTTTATTCCTCTTTAATCTTAACGATTTTTCGTTCTCTTGCATTGGTGCATTAGGTGATTTCGTTTGACGGCTCTACGACTATTGAGGAATTTCAAACTACATTGGCTCAAGAGATAGGCACAAGGGACGCTACAAACGGTTTTTGCTTGTTCAGTGACGATCCTATCGAAAAGGATCTCGAACATTATTTAGATCCATTGGCTAAACTGTGCGATGTCATCTCGAAATGGGAGACAGCTTTAAGAGAGAAAGGTTCCGGAAAATTTGAAAATACCCGCGTCATTCAATTGACTTATAAGAATCGTTTATACTGGAAGCATACCGTTAAATTTGAAACAGACAAAGAACGCTTGCTGCTCTGCTATCAAACAAATAATCAAATCGTTCAGGGTCGTTTCCCTTTGTCAAGAGACTTGGCCCTGGAATTAGCTTCGCTTATGGCTCAAATCGATATGGGCGATTATTCGCATGAGAAGACCAAGACCACTACCGCTAATGTGGGTATAAAAGCTTTAGATAAATTCTATCCATATAGGTATCGTGATGCTTTGAATCCTGAACAATTGAAAGACATACAAGAGCTACTAATATCAAAATGGATGTTGTTGAAAGGCCGTTCAACTTTAGATTGTGTACGCATTTATCTAACTTGTTGCCGTAAGTGGCCATATTTCGGTGCTAGTTTATTTCAAGCTAAACCGAGGCATACAGATCAAGCCATGACATGGTTAGCAGTGTCGGAAGATGCTTTAAATGTCTTAGAATTATCTTCTATGGCGCCGGTGGCCCGCTATCCTTATACAAGTGTAATGACATTTGGCGGATGCCAGGACGACTTTATGCTAGTAGTATCAAATGAGGACACTTTAGCCAGTTGTGGCAGTCAAGAACAGAAACTTTTGTTTGCGATGAGCAAGCCGAAGATATTGGAAATTACTTTATTAATCGCAGATTATATGAATGCTCTGGGCCATACGGTGCCCGGTACACCACAAATGAATTCGTTAACACGTAACGGTTCACATAGATCATTAAGATCAAGAGCTATGGGCACGGGCACAGGGGCTACCACAGCTATAGGTACATTTTGCGGTACAGCGACTGTCGGTATGTCGACTAACGCAACCAGTACAGCTCATAACACTTTGAATTCGCACGCTACGCACACTCTCAACTCACAACATTCGCACACTTTAAGCTCTTCCCACTACAGCACTGGAGCCGGTGTAGGAGTTATAGGGCACGGCTCGGGTTCTTTACCTGGTTCACAGCAAGGCACCATGAATTCAACACATGGTCTACAACAACAACAACAACAACATCAGCATCACCATCATCAGCAACATCAACCCGATATTTTGAAGAGTACACCGGATCATCAGAGAATCAAATGAAAGGCAAGAAATTTGTAAATATTCTTTCAGCCAATAAGTCAACTATAGTTTTTCTCAAATAAGGCTTTTTTTTTTTTCTGTGTCTATACACGGGCAGAAAAATTTAAAAGCCTAAAGAGTAGAACAGTAATAGACTAAGCTTTAATGAAAAATATAATTTTCTTTTTTTTTTTAATCAATATTTTATGCAGAATATCTTTAAAAACGGTAAAAAAATAAATATTAGTCGGAAAATATTTTTCTTTTTACCCTAAAAAAAAAAAAGATTGAAATAATTTAATTACCAAAAATCATTTTCAGTTAATTTTTATTTAAATTATTTTCAAAAATATTTATTTATCAAAACATGACAATTTGTTAAAAAAAATTTATCTCATTTTTTTATCGTTAGAATTAATTAATTTGTTTTATTGTTTTATCTCGTTATTATTTTTTTTTTTTTTTTTTAATTTCTTTTACTTTGATCATTATTTAATTAGATATTAAAAACAAATGCTTTAATAATTATGTAAAACAAAAATAACATAGAACAGAACACTTATTAAACCAAGGCAAGCACCAAAAAAAAGTAGTTTTAATGTAAGTTTAGTGAAAAAACAGAACAAAGAAAAACAAAAACAATAATGAAATAGAAATTTTACGAAACTGCCGCAGATGAGAGATGTAATGTTATGTTATTGAAGTAAATAATATTTTTTAATGAAATTTCAAAAATCACAATTTTGATTCAATTATATATATAATATATATATATATATATATATATATATTGGTTTCAGAAATTTACATAATAGTCCAAAAAAAAAAATACAAATTTCATATCTCAATACAGTTTTTTTTTTTTTTTTTTTTTTTTTTATTTTTTATGTTTTTTTTTTTCTTATGTCGCAAAGTATTAGTGCTTCTCTTCATATTTTGTTCAATTGAAATCGTATCAGTTTCCATTTCCAGTTCCATTTGTAACACCCTTAACACGTGTCAAAGACCGCGTACACTTCCCATGCATCGCGAGAGTCATATCCATCTATTCAATTTATCCGATCGCCTGCACTGTGCTTGATGTCTGCTATCGTCTGTGTCCTTTCTATCATCTATCATCTATAGTCGCCCGTCGTATCGATACAAAGCTCACTTCCTCGCAAATTGAACAAAAAAAACTTCATATTGGGCTTACGGCCGCAAACCAAGTTTGAAAATATGCCAACAAATACGCCTACAATAATCGAAATATTATCGCACATAACTTTCTAAAAGAATTTCTGTGCGAAAGCGATCATCGTAGAGTCCGGATAGACGTCCGCAATAATAAGCTATCTGTAGCAAACGTTAACCTAAGATTTAAGACAAACCATATGTAAAACTATTATGTGAAAGGCAGGTTTAAAAATGATTCCAGCCGGATTAACTGACGCGCCCGCAATTAATAACAAAAAAGTTCTTTGCAATTCTTTGCAGTCAACTGCGCATGACAGACAACAATTTTATGTTATGACAAACATAAACGTCATAATCCGTCCATCCGTCTTTCGTTGGATATACTTATAAAATTTGATCATTATAAACGCGTATTTGCCAATAATAATATA